GCTTTATTAGTTGTTCGCCGTTCGTCAAAAAGAATAGTTGAATAAGAATTCTCATCCCTCAAATGTGGCAGGAGTTAAGTCATTTTAGGGTTTGTGTGTGTGTTTTGTCAATATTTGATCAAAAAACAAAATATTGGTGTTGTCTTATTTAAAAACAAAATAGTAATGTATGCATGTCGCTCGTCCTAGTTTTCTTAGAAATCAGAGTTTATGTTGCAAATGGATATCAAATATATTAAAATTTAACTAATTATAGTAAAATCTTAATAAGTATCATTTAGTCTTTAGATCTTATTTTCGGCCTTTTGAATTGAATCCCCAATTGATTACCCAAACATGAAGAGCAGCTAACAAAATAACATTTCTTTTCTAATTTATAGCTACAAGCCTACAAGTGTTACATACGAAAATTGATGACAATCGTACATTGCCTCAGGACCACATTCTTGCTTACAAGATCTCTTTAATGGTGAAAGTAGCATTGCCTCAATGTAATGTTATTGTAGTCCTTTGTGGAGATTCTCTTTGTGGTAGCTAGTGAACTTTTGGTTATTGACCTTTTGTAAATTCTATTATAAATATAATCTACTTTCAGTGGAAAAAAAAAAAAGAGAGTAAGAAATCAAAAACAATTCTTATCATCTCTTATTAGGTATGATTTAGACTTATATATATCATCAATTAAAAAATATAATAAAGACATATTAATAAGGGACCAACCTCTTTTGTAATTGATGAGTACTCTAGATAGGACCAAGCTGGACCCAATTTTAAAAAATTCATGTCCTCAGTTCATTAAGATTCTTTGACCTTTTGACTCATCCAATTTTTGGTTTATTTTATATTGGCCAAATCGCGTTTTTGTAATGTTTGGATTTAATTATTAATAGAAATTTCAAAAAATACTATTTTTAAGTGTTATTTTATAAAAATACCACACTTTTGAAATCTTTACAAAAATGTTACTTTTTCAAAATTATTTTTTCTTTATATTATTTATGTTTGGGTTAATTATGTTCTATTATGGTTTAGTTTTGAGTGTTTAGGAGGTTTTAGGTGTCAAAATATTTTTTAGGGTTAAGAATTCTAAGATATAAGTTTTATAAATC